AGGCACCACCGGAAGGCCCAGCCATCCACGGGACACCCTCAAAGCGGGAGCGAGTCGTTTGGACACCAGAGCAATCTCACTTCAAAAGGACAGAATTACAGGCCCAGATGGTCCTCGCCGTCCTTGCTGTGACGGCTCAAAATAACGCCTCCTGTCTGCTCTCTGAGGCCACGGGCGGCCTTCAGGAGGAAAACTGCAGTCGTCCTGTTCCTGGAGGTCTCACTTGAACGTTCACTTCCAGAACCGTCCCGCAGAGGATGCTCGACACTTACTCCAGGATGTTGACAGTATTTATACCAGGGCCATCTGACAGAGTACTGCCATTCTGCAAGTCGGTAACACACAATACTGCATATACCTCAAATTAATTTCCCTATTCCCCATTTACCACTTAATCCCTCCCACCAAAAAAAAAAAAAAAAGACGGTACAACAGATAATGTACTTTAGACGTTATCTTCCCTGTTTTCTCAAGCAAGAAATACACTGTACAGAACGTGAACTAATTTTCATCTCATGCCTCATGTGAAAGCCTTAAACTAATTAATGTTTTAATCTAAAAATTTCCAATGAGGCCCTAAAGAGACTAACCGCCCCTTTCCAAAGTAAAAATAGAGCTGACCGTGCATGGCTTTACTGTGGAGCGGAGGTGCTACTTTAAGACGAGACGGGGGTGGTTGGCAGAAGAACTAATATTAACCCATGACACCCAAAAATATGGCTGCAAAAATAGACCACGGTGACTTTTTTTTTTTTTTAATAACCACATATTAACGTATTTCTGAAAATCTAATTTTGTAAGACGTTCTTTCCCGTCATAGTGAATATTGGCAAATTTTGAGCTCCTCCATAAAGCAGATTTATGGGTCATCGTCCATCCTCCACCCTCCATTCTCTCTTGCATGACCAGTTCCACTTCACAACACACTTCCACCTATGTTTGAGTTGTCAGAAAATAAACAATACCAGGCCCCGTGCAAACGGAGAGGCTCTCCACCCCCCTGGGTGACCACAATCTGGAGCGCCATAGTCAATAGCTATAGAATAAGGCCGTCTCTGCTGATGACATCAGAGTCTGCATTGCTGTGTTCGCCTTTACAGTGTCTGGAACCTGAAAGGCAGCTACATCAGGAGCGATGACCTCTAACAAAAATATCCTGGCCGAAGCCACTCTTCATGTCATAATCATTCAGCTTATTTATTCTATATCCATTCAAATAACATTAAACTTAGATTATAAAGCTTAAGTAATATGCAAATTGTCTTGAAGGTGCTTACTGATCCCCCCCCCCCTTCAGGTCAATTAAGGTTCTAATTTCAGTTGTTGAAACCCCAAACACTCATCACTAACGGCATTCCTCTCCTTACATCTGAATATCTGGGAATGAGCTCCGCAAATCAATGGAGAAATAAGCTCAGACTTTAATGGCCGCTATTCCGTACAGGAGGCTAAAGGAAAGAAGTTCTTGGCGATATTCTCAGCAGCGAGCATGAAAATCAATCCTGGGAAAAAAAAAAAAAAGCGGGACGGTGCAAAGCTGGGTCATTCGGGAAATGGATAAAACTGCGAGGAGGACTCTACACTGGGAAATGAGCTGCAAAAACACTGAAGGGGAAAAAACTTTGTCTTTTCATACAGCAAAAAATGTCAAAGATCACTACCAGCTTATGGTTAAACTGAAGTGGAGTACCTGAAAAAGCAGACTGGACAGGACGCGCAAATCTCCACCTCCATCTCGCTCAAAAAGCACATAAAATATAAACACACACAACATTAATATGTTGCATATGTTAATATCAAGCTAGGGCCAAATACACACAGCCCAGAGCTACAGGGTACCCATTAAAGAGCTATTTTTAACTCTGCCTCCTGCAGAGTGATCTAACTACTGTATATAGCTAAATTATATTTTATAGGGCTTCCCCTGTAACTCTTCTGTTGACTAGAAGCAGACTGGATGAACGACTGCACTAGGCAATTCAATACCGCATACAGACTCCAGTAAATTCTGTATCGGTTCAGCCATGCTCTAGCATTAGCCTGCTGAATTAGCACACCAGTAACGCGGCTAGCTTAAATTTAGAAGGTAGCTTTCAATCACACTGGTTATATACGCTGTTGGTGTAATTTGTTTTGTATGAAATGTACTTATATTCAAGTTTTTCAAGCTGAACTGATAGGGATTCATACTCGATACATCTCTTTTATACCAAACACTTGACTTTTTGTGCTTGCAACTTAAAATCCAGAAATTGTTAGGTGTGTCAGTAAATGGTATTTCTGTGCGGGAAAGGACTGGAATCCCATCCAGACTGTCCCCTGCCGAGTGCTTGCGTGTCCTGGGACAGGCACCAGGGTCACAGCAACACTGTGCTGATTAAGTATTTGGATGATGAATGGATGGACTTTCAACTGGTAATAGTTTACTATAGTTTAATGCAGATTAATCAACACGCTTGAATGGCTTGAACGTCAACACAGTCCACCTTGTTATGACTACAAAACCCACATCATAGAACTTCTGTGCAGAGGCGGACACATCTATAAGCCTGTGTTCTTTCTGCATGACTCTCCCAAGCTGATTACTTCCTGCATTTCTGTAAATGAAAAGAACTGAAGCAACTAGTCTGCTTGTAAAATGAGACTTAAAAGTAACTCATGACACACAAATATGAAAATGATAAAACTGGCCGTGACTGCCAATGGTTTTTTTTTTTTTAAATATGTCCTGCCCCCAGGCTAACAAACTCCCCAGGACTGGGAGGAAAAGGCTGATCTGTGAATTCACACCCAAGGGAGCCACTTACAAACATGATCAGTGCTTTAAACCATGGTTCAAGTAGGACATTGTGGATACCACAGTAAAGTTTTCTCAACCAGAACTCAACATAGACACCTCAGTAATTTAATATAGAGGAGAAGGCATGAAAAAATATAGTGCAAATAGTGGTGTAATTTAGAAAAAGTTACTCCTTGTTCGGAGTGACTAAATGAAGGAAAATTTTTGCACAGAACCCTAAAATAACCAAGTCACAACTGGATACAATCAAAACTTGTATCATTCAATACCACCCTTCATTCATTCGCTGGGAAGTGTTTATCCAGAGCAGGGCCCTGGTGAGCCTGAAACCTAAACCAGGACGCCCAGGGCAGAGGGCAGGTACCAGCGAGACAGCATGCCGGCCCGTCTAAGCACTCAAGTGCCGATGCACGTACTCCTGCTGAAAGGAGTTTATAGACACTATAGAATTGTGGGGAAACGCAGACCTGGAGGGGACCAATGCAGACCAGAGGGGAGGCACCAAGTCCGAGACACACCCAGGCAGCTGGGCACAAACGAGAGCCCAGCACCAAGGCAGTGGGCTGACTGTACTTCAGCATCAATACTGTGCACTGCAAAAACCATCAAAACTCTTAAGACCACTTAAGTTATACAACTGTAAAAACTGAATGACAAACTAATGATCACAGTTGAAGTTTTATTCAGATAAACCATCAGTCCGATCAAAGTCTTTTTGTAACCAGGAACACTGGTGGTGCTTACTCCCACTCAAACTACGTATTTGCATGGGGCCCCTGAGGCTTGGGTGACAGTCATTACATTGGGGGGGTGACTTTTGAGGGGTGACCCAGAAACAATAATCCCACAACTGACAATACATACGAGTGGTAAACATCCTGATATTTTATGCACACATCAAGAAAGACGTCATTGAAGTATTTATTAAGAAGTGCCCATACCAGTTGAACTCCTACACTTAACATGCGAGCACAGACTGGTTACATCTGGCTGCCCCGATTAGTTAGGTAGCTGGTATTTCCTTTCCGTGCAGCGCTGGGAGGAGCGGGTGGCTGCCTCGCGGATCTGACAGTCACGTGTTTCCCCTCGGAAGTTTGCGGCTCGCTTCGGCAACACTTCGCCTGCACCCGATGCCTCCTACAAAAAGCCATCGATAGCGCTATGCTGATCTGTAGACTGATTAATACCTGCAAGACTACTTAAAATGTCAAAAGACAGTATAAAATGTTCCGTTAAGCTCAATTTAATTAATCTGAGTCGAGGTGACTTAAACCAGTCTTCATTCAATGGCTTATTGAGTCAACCCAACCTTTCAAGGTTTTAAGTCACACTTCAGTAACTCTGCTGGTAACTAATATATATATATATATAAATCCTGTCCTTACCTAGTGTTTATGCAACAGCGAAATATACACTTAATTATCCATCCCATCCATCCATTTTCCAACCCGCTTATCCTACTGGGTCGCGGGGGGGTCCGGAGCCTATCCCGGAAGCAATGGGCGCGAGGCAGGGAACAACCCTGGATGGGGGGCCAGCCCATCGCAGGGCACACTTAATTATAAAAAATTATATATAAAACTTTGCTTCGTGATCGATGATTTGCGATCTGGACTGAGCAATATGGTTTCTTACATGAGTATGTTGGAACGATGAAAAAAATATTACATTTAATTAATAAACTTCCATTATATGTTAACGGGTACAGATATTTTTTAAATGGCTTAATTTCCCCCCGTTTGGTTATGATTCAACAAAACTGTTAACAGCAGCATGTCAATATATTTACGTTCCTGACGACTCAAAGGCTGATTGACAGTATAACAAGGGGCACTGGGGGTGCATGCTACTCAGCCGGCCAGAAAGCCAAAGCATCATTTCATCCACGGACTTGAAGGCACAACATCTTGGGGCTTCCAAAATAAGATGTGCACTACGACTCATACGGGTTTCTATTAAATAACAAGACAACGTTTGAGGGTAAACAGTGGTTTGCGTCATGTCTCCATCTTTAAAAAAAAACTTGGTGAAACAAAGGCTTTCTTGTGGATAGTTATCTATCTGAATGATTAACCAGATGTTACATCATCTCTCCCTTCCAATGCCAGTCGCAACAAGACAAATCTGCCAGTCGTCGAACAACGAAAACGAGGTCAAAACGCTGTAAATACAGTTAAAAATAGAACAGTGATCGGTTTACCTCTCTCTGGCTTCATGTTTGCCACTGTCCTTCACAGGCGCCCCCTCGTCGTCAATCTTCAGATTCTTCCCCTCTTTCTATGCCGAAGGCGACTGGATGCTGTCTCCGATGAGCAGGCAAATATCAAAACAACTCCGAACTGAGACGTATCGGTCGTTAAACTTTTATCGTTAAGCAATACACATCTTTCCAAACACTCGCCAAACTAAAATCGCCCTCACTCGGTGCATCCGTCTCATTCCTGCTCTTTTTTCCCCGGACCCGGCTACTCTACTTAGCTCTTAAAGTAGGTAACTAGGAATCCAGGACCGAGACGTCTGCCAGTATCCCCTCGCCAGCAAGTCAGACCGCGACACTGGAAAGGCAGGCGCCCCTGTTCGGATCGCCCGTTTCGAGTATGATGTGTCCGCTACGCTCCGCCAATCATCGTGTATAGAAGGAAGATACTACGCTGCCGGCTTGCACACGCAGTCTCCCTCATCTGCTCGTTGGATCATCGCTCCTGTTAAGTTTTGTTTGTTTGTCCTCTCTAGCAGTTCCGTCCAAACGGCTAGCAAGTGGCAAGCCCGCAAGCTACCAGCGTCTCCCCTAGTCTGAATCCCCTCTCCTGCCGACAGTCAGGTCGTGTCGGAGCGAACTCCTCCGGGTGACGGTACCGAAATCTAATCAAAGTCATCTGGCGAATTTCTCCTTCTGCTTCGCGATGCCGAGCTTCCACAGCCGCCGGAGAAGTTAAGCTTCAACGCTCTCCGCTGCTGGTCCCAAGAGCTCCATTGCTTGTCAAAACAGATCACAGCAACCTTCCTAAATCACGTGTCCCAACAACAGCTCGCTCCTTACGTCACTTCCGTAACTCGGCCCTCCGGTGACCCTGCTGGCATGGCAACCGTAAATCTTAAAATTTTGTTTTTCTAAATTACTGGATATGTCATTCCAACCCTCTCCGTCCTTTTAATAACACAATATTATTATGATTAAAAACGGATCTGGCAATTAATTATACTTAAAAGTACATGTAATAATACGGCTCAAATACAATAATTACAAAATTCAGTATATGTTTGCAGACTTGGGTGTGACTTTCAGGCAAATGTATTATTACACACAGTGTTAAAATAATATTTCATGTAGTTCTAATAGCGATATAGTTGAGTTTTTTAAAAAGCTTTATTTTTTAGTTCGTTAATAAAATATGAAAGAGGAATCGTGTACTAAAGGTAATCATGAAATTGTCGCAGGTTGCCATCTAGTGGCAGCAAGGATGTACCTTTATAAAGACTGAAGCCAAGGCAGTAGGAAGTGCTGTCCCTGTCAGTGCACAGTGCTCTCATGGTATTTGTGGAATGGGAAAGTCGGAATTGTGAGACACGTCAAGAATAACAAAAACTGGCTTTACCAACTGCTTGTAATACTTTCCTTATATAGAAGCATTGAAGTTTTGTAATTTCAGAATTTAACATTACAACATAAGTAATATGATTTATCATCAGTTTATCATTAGTACATATTAGATGTTTTTTACGACATACGATGTAGATGACTGATGAGTATTGCTAACCGCAAACTACAATAGGGGCCTCTAAAGTAAAAATATTAAACTATAAAAATACCATCAACTACAATAAATGATTAGATGAGTCTTTTTAAAATTGCTGGAAAACCAACGTTTTATTTTCTACCTTCTTGTGACTACAGAAATGCGAAAACATTTTAACACCGAAAAGCCTAATGACATGACACTTGCTTCTATTTCTTTACTTAGCAAACACAGCAGATGATATTGCACGGCATAGAGAGACAGTAGCACAGCTGGAGCGAAATAAAAAGAATGAAATCATTAAAAAAATCTTATAAATGAAAGTCTTGGTGCATTACAAAAATACAAACCTGGGAGTAATATCCATTGGATAGCCCATTATTTTGCCACACACAAAAATACATGGAAAATACTGTAACAGGAAAGATAAGAAAACAGATAATAGGGATGGAGACATTGGCAAAATTGCAATAAATCATTACTTTTTCATACAATAATCACTCAGTTTTAGAATGTAAACACAAACAACTACTCCAATATAATAAAAAGTCAGCAATAGTTTTTCCATTATCAAAAACTGTCTGACTTCATTGTGTCTTTCATAGCCTGAAGGACTGCTCTTCAATGGATCTACAAGTTCCCCACTTTTCATTTTTACCAGATGATTGTCTTTGGCGCTTTCTGATTTTTTTTTGTTTGTTTGTTTGTTTTTTTTATTTTTTGAATCAAGTGATCTACCACTTGGTGATTCATTTTTAATCACTTTTGAATTCCTGCTACACTGGTGATGATTAAAAAGCCACTGGCATTCAGGTAGGACAACAGCCTTCTTAACAAATAAACGTTTCTCCAGACCAAGATGAAGTCATATTGTACGGTATGTTTTTTGCATGCATTCAGACAATTACAACCCTCCCCTTCAAGGAATTTTTAGACTGGACAAAGCACATGTCAAGTGTTTTGTGATCCCAATTTCTGTCTGGACCAGTGAAGTAAAGATGAATGTATTGTCACTGTAATGATGTTGTAGTGGCATTGTAATGTATTACTTTTGATGCTTTAATTTTTATCAGAGCATCAGAAAAGTTAATCTATTCCAAAGCAGAGCTATACCAGAATCCAAAACAAAGTTGAATGTAATTGAAATGCCATTCAGCATTCCACAGAAATTCACCTGGGAATCCAGTAGATCTCCCTAAAACTGAGTCATCTACTATAAATATAGTCTGTGAGGGCTTTGCCTTTTCAACTATGCATTAAAAAGCATCTATCGGTAATATGACGGCTAAGTGTCTGTAATGGGGGTCTAAAACATACTATTTTTCAAATTACTATGGAAACCACTGAAAGTCTGGATCAGTAACAAACCCATATTATTCCTGTACTGATTTCTAGATCTTTCCATTGTGTTCAGTGGTAAGACAGAAATAAAAGCTATTAGGTAATTCAAGTAATTTCCATAAAAATTTTCAATGATACACTCAAGCCAACAAGAAAAAAAACACAGGCACACACACACATACACACACACACACACAAACTGATTCCTTGGTGAGTTTCTTTGTAGGTTTATTAGACTTTGCTCATTGTCATTACACGAGTACGCACCAAAATAATAGATACTAGACAGAGTGAGGCAGCGGTGCCACACAAAGAAAAGATCCCCGGTGACATGCCACAGCTCCTTGGCAGACCGGCTGCCCTGCCCGCACTCTGACTCACTCTATGCATGAGGCAGCAAAGTGAGAAGGACTTGCAGCCCTCGGATCAACACCTTCAGATTGTACATTTAACAGGTTTATTTCCCCTCAAATCGTAAAATTAGCTTGTCCTATGCAGTCCTATGCTGCCTACTTTCTATACCCATGCGGATGGCAAATTAAAATGACGATTCTACCTTACAAATGCCAGTGCTTTTAGACATTAAACTTTTTTTTCTTCTTTTTTTTTAAATGGTCTTATAAATCTTTGGATGTGCAGTATTACCCTTAAACAAACTATCTTTAAAAACTTGAGAGAATTAAATAAAGATGTACACTGCTTGTGCCATTGGAATAGCAAAGTAGCTCCCTTAAAACTTTGTTCTCATTGGCCAGTCCTTTTCCTCACTCATTTTTGTTACCTGGCAGTGTCTCTAACACGTACGGAAGTGCCCGCTAAGATACCCATGAAGAAGAATACAAAATCCCGCTTCTTCATATCTAAGCATGAAAAAATAAGATTGTAACATAAAACTGGATTTTTTTTGTCTTTTTTTCCAAAACATACTATATACAAATCTATATTTTCTACAAATGCATAAATTAAAGCAATGATTAAGTGATACAAAATGCAATTAAATTAAATCAAATTACAACACTGTAGAGAAAAAAAAACACATCACAACAATTCATTTTACCCTGTAGAAAACAACAGACTACTATCGTCAGAATATTATCGTAACACAGTCTTAATAAAAAATAGGTCTGCTTTTTAGTTCGCCTCCTGTTAGCCTCCACCACAATCCACAGAGCATATTACCTATGACCAAAAACAGAGTAATTCTGCAAAAAACTTCAAAATAAATACAATTTAAAAAGCCTTTTTCAGAAGTAACATCAATAGTTATCAAACTAGCAGAGTTCTGCTTTAATTACATAGACTTGTACAACATAACTCTAAGCGTTTACTACTATGAGGTATTCAGAGACAGGTTAAAAAGATGCACAACCTATATGGTGGAGACTCTAACAGACATGGACAGTGAGACAAGGGGCAGACGAAAAGGTATAGAGAGGGAAAAGGGGATAAACAGCTTTGGTTTGTCAGCAAAAGTGTGGGAAAAAAATCCTTTGGTATGTTTTAATTGCATGGTTGCACTGGCAAAAGCACCACGGTGAAAGAATTATTCCTTTTTTTCTTCTACAGCGGCCCTTCTCAAGAGGCTGAGGTATTCAAAGAGTAAAAGGTGAAAACGCAGAGGTCAAGAGCGGTTTAACACTTTGGTTTAAGCAAGGCACTCGTCCTGTGAGTCGTACAGAATCTGCAACATGTCTGCCTATAGCTTTCTAATCAGGTCACTAATGCAGAGAAATTAGACAGAAAAAAGGGGGCGGAGTAGAAAACACTGAAGTGGAGGCGGGGTTTTAGGGCTGGGGGCGGGGTTATCTAAGGGAAAAAGACGCCAACTATCCACCACACCAGTCATGTAGGCCGTGCAAGAAAAATCTTTGGTATCGTTAAAGTGATAAAAAGAATCACAAATGGAAATTGAATGAGGTAGTGTCTTTGGTTCACACTATACATAGTAGTACATCTTTACACTATTTGTTTCTGTTTTTACAAGAGGAGAAAGCCATTTCTAAACTTTTCTTTGTGGACGCCATATTAGTTAATAGTTTCCAAATATTTTCCATGAAGGTAACCACGCCACCAACAGCACTGGCGGAGTTGTGTCCACTCAGGCTCTGACAGCTCGGTGCACCTGACCCCATGTCGGACAGATTTCTGTAGTGCTTTCTTCCCAGTAGTGACATGCATAGTTCCAGTTTGCTCTTTTCAACCATGGTCCGAAGTGAGTGGGCGGGGTATACGGGCTGCAGTCCCAGGCATCGCTGCATCCCCTTTTAATAGGCTTTGGTTAGGAAATACAAGGAATTCTGATGGGTTATTGTATAACAAAAGCTGACCTTAAGGAAGCCAAAACAGTAGCACAGTGACACTAATGAGGATAATCAAAAACACAAACAAAACATCTAATATTGCACTAAAAATTCTTTTAAAGAAGAAGATGGCAAAGGCAAGTATTGTTAAGGGTCAAAACTGAATAATTTTCAGATATCTTAGGTTGCATTAAGAAATAAACAACTCAAATAATGTAAACAAGGCATAGAGCTATGACGTATCTTGCAGTCCAAAACAGGCCAAGATGGATGAATTTTGTCTCATTTTGCTAGACATTGATAACATTTCACATGACAGACATACATCACCTGAGGTTATGTGGCAAAAATATTCACCAAATATACAGATATATGGTAGCTATTCATTACCACATTGAGATATGGTAACCCTTTCAGTTAGTTATAATATTCATATATCCTTATAATAAATTAATGATAAATATTGTCAAAGTAACTATTTGGTTGTTTGAAAAGCATGATTGATTAACAGCAGATTTTGTTTGTTTCATATTATCCATAATGTTTATGTAGATTATCGCACAGAAATTCATAACTGTAACTGGCACATAATCGATCCCCATGGGGCAACGCTCTAGACACCTCCCCCAACTTACTCTCTGTAGGTGAGAGCAAGCTGGCCGCAAAAGGGCGGCCACCCATAGCAGCACCCAGGGAGCTGGGGGTTAAGGACCTCGCTCAGGGACCCACGAGTGTGCCAAGGCCAGGCTCAAACCAGTGACTTTCTGATCACAGGTACAGAGGCTTAACCCGCAGAGCCACACACCCCGTGATGAAGACGATTTGTGGCCTGGATCTAAATTATCTTTGGTTTTGCCGTAGGAGTAATTTGAAGAGTAAAAGATACAGCCATGGGGTCTGATGGTAACATATTTTTGTATATCTAAAATCATACTATTATTTTATAATTACTGAATTAAAAACAATTGGAATTAATATTTTGCATGCTTAAACCCAAAGGTGCTTAACGTAATTAATATGTTACTTATTACTGTGCATGGCTGCCAATTCAGGGCTGACGCTTAAAAACAAAGGCTTCAGTGTTTGTTTATAGTCCTGAGTCCCAGGCTCCCCTGCACTGGTACAGGACTTGTTTCCACAACAATTTCACTGATGTGCCTTTAATTTGCATTTGATATCCATTCACCTGCTGCACAGCTGTCAGCATTTTAAGGCCCTGCACTCTTCCTTTATCAGCCCAACCCCTCAACCCAGTTTTCTAACAAATCGAAACAAAAACGAAATCGCTACCATCTGGGCTCATCATTGGACGACACCACTCAGTCTGCAAATTGCTCCCATTTATGCAAACCTCAAAGTTTTTCTTTCAAAATACGGACATAATGAGATATAAATCATTCGCCTCTAATTTTATGACAAGATACCTTTTAGTTCAATCCTATAATAAACCAACAATATGTTTTGCAAAATCATAAGTTTCCTTATTTCCATAACATAATCCCTAAGCAGATAAAAAACTGCAATCATCCCTCGTCTATTACAAAAACCTAAAAAATATTGCCTGCAACTTAAAAATACACACTGTCTTTGGATGACAGAGCGACATGTCTTACTGCTGATCAAACATCTTGTCGACACCATAAATGATCTCCAGGACGTGTTTTTCTGAATACCGAACAAAACATGTTGATGAAAAAGTGCTGGTTAGTCAGTCTTTGGTTGTTAGCATCTTACATATTTGATAAAAAAGTTTTGATACAAAATATTTATAAAGCTCATGCAGAACTGTTTACTCCCTGAAAATACTGTTTACTAAATGAAACAAAATATTAATATAAGGGCACCTCCAGTGTTACAGATGGCAAAATATGACATTGTATAACAACAGTCTAACAATATAGTATTACCTTTGGTTTTATCGCAGAGAACAGCTGTAAAAAGACTGTATAGCTAATATTCTAGGTGGGTATTATGAATAATGGACTGGTGCAGTTCAAATACGGTGTCTGATGGCTTCACTGTGAAAATCATAGAGTCAGTTATTCTCTATGATTAAACACATAATTTCAAAAGCTTTCAAATTTGGTATATTATTATCCATTTGTACTGGATACTTTAAAGTCAATAGTTGTCTTATTTCTCCTGTCTACCTAGCTGATTTCTCATTTCTCATTCAGTGTTTGCGTTTAAATATTTTAAATAAGTAGCTAGTGTATTCTTTGGTATGATTTATCATTATATCATTAATGTGTTTATATGTGGGTCTAGCTGACTTTTTAAAAATTTGATATTTATGAAAACAGCTGGGAAGAAAGCACTACTACCCTGGAACTATACCCAGTATCTCAGGGTTCCTGACCGGTGAGGAAGAGAGGAACCATCGAAAAAAGAGCCCAAGCGGCTCTAGGAAAGTTCAAATCTGACCACTGGGGAATCCTGACTTGGGTCGGTCCTCCATGAGCTCTTCTCGCGAGTATGTACACAGCACGCCTCTCCTGCTACCGTCACACGCCTCTGGCGGTACAGGTGGCAACAAGAGTGTGGCGGCTCGTGGATCAGTCAGTGATCAAAAGAATCGCAAAAACCTTTAGTTAAACCAATGAAAGTGAAGGGGGATTCGGGAACAGGAAGGGTGCGAAATGGAAGGTTAAAGATGGCTAAAGAGTGCGACTGGCAATATGGGAATTTTTTGTGATTTTTATCTCTCTCTTTTGCAAGATGTCTAAATAAAATGCGTTGCAGAACAAAGACGCAAGTATAAGAAGTCTTTGGTTTTTTTGGATACTATAAACATCACTATTATCATTTTTTCTTTCAAACAAGATTAAGGACAAAACTGCTGTCTAGAGGTCCTGGTCTTTGATAGGTATTTTTTTAGTTTAAAGCTTTTCCACCGAGATTTCAGTCTGGAACTTTCATGCTTTGGTACAAGTGCTAGATGAGGAAGAGGAGTTGGCTGAGCTGGAGCCATCGTCGAGCCACTTGTCCAGGCTCCGTCGGCGTGCGTTCATGAAGAAGTTGCTGACGGTGGTGATCTCCAGGCCCAGCTGCTGAGAGATGGTGATCTGCAGCTCTTTGGATGGCCGTTTGTTCTCTTTGAATATTGCGTGTAAAGTCCGCCGCTGGACATCCGTGAAAACCAGCCGCGGCTTCTTGGAGATGCTGCCCCTCTCTCCCTTGCCGTGGTCCTGTTCCTTTCTCTTGCAAGCTGCAGAACATGAAAATACAGGGGAAAAAATTATGCTGATTATATTATGTGTTCAGCAAGACAGTACTGTTCACAAAATAAACATGCGTGTGTGTGTGTGTGTGCGCGCTCGCATACTAAAAACACAGGTACACAAGCTTCAAAATAAATTCTTTTGAAAGAGCAACAAATTAATAAAGATGTAAAATTAAATGCTAACACAACAAATAAATGACGCAACTCTAATAGTTACTCAATGCCTTCTGACACTGAAAAGTGGACAAGAGGTGTAGATTTTTCCTGTTTCATGTTTCCTAAAGATTGACTGCAGCCGTCAGGATCGGCTGACCCCCTTATTGTATTCAAACACTCCTCACACACCCGAAAGCTATTCCCTCCTGTGTCTTAGCATTGGTAATAAAATTTGGATTTTTGTAAAATAACTTATTTAACTTACTTTCAGTCACTGTTACAAATCCTTCTCAATACAAACACATTTTTTACATATTTTAATATACAGTTAGTGAGTAATGCAAAAGATATATGTATGTGTATGTGTGTGTGTATTATGTTTATATTACATTGTGGGGACCAATTGTTATTTTAACATGGTGGGGACCATTTTTCAGTTCCCACAAAGATCTGTGAATGCAGACTAAAATGCCAAAAGTCTTGTATTTTTTTGGTTACTTTTGGTTAAGGTTAGGGCTGGTTATGGTCATCATGTTGCGATTAGAGTTTTCCCTATTGAGTCCCCACATATAATTACAAACCTGTGTGTGTGTGTGTGTGTGTATGTGTAGGTGTGTGCGTGTGTGCGCGCGTGTGTGTGTATGTGTGGGTGTGTGCACATGTGTGTGCATGCGTGTGTGTGTGTGTGCATGTGCATGTTTGTGTGTGTGTGTATGTATGCATGTGCATGTGTGTGTGCGCGTATGTGTGTGCGTGTGCATGTGCGCGTATGTGTGTGCGTGTGCATGTGTGTGTGCGCGTATGTGTGTGCGTGTGCATGTGTGTGTGCGCGTATGTGTGTGCATGTGTGTGTGCACGTATGTGTGTGCATGTGTGTGCATGTGCGTGTGTGTGCATGTGCGTGTGTGCATGTGTGTGTGTGAGTATACAAACCTCCTGCATATGCTGTGGGGTTATAAAAGCCAGTTGTAGCTGGCAGCAATACTTACACCACCCTGTATACTGTCATAATTTAACTTACCCTGCATGTGACCACATATTATACAACTAGCTTCTACTTCTATTACTATAAATAAAACAGAGATTGAATGTATTCATTCAAAGTGGTAATACTAAGCTAGGGTTGTTAAAGAAATCAAAACATTTTTTTCCCAATGAAGAGATTATTCTATTAAATGATACATTTAAAATATATTATTTAAAGTGTTAAACAATTACATTCAAATACTGCAGTGAGAACGGATATCCTAATCACCTTGGCTGACGGGATGCAAGCCTTGGCTGAGATGGAGGATTTATAGACACCCAAAGAGAAAAGTCCATCTAAACCACCTGCTATAATTATTGGGTTTCTTAGGGAATTTGTGTGTGTTGATCTGTATCACTCATTACTCGTCAGTAGCACGTTTACTGGTGCAGCTTCAAACGCAACATTTGTATACAGTGGTCCCTCGGTATAACGCGGTTCACTTTTCGCGGCCTCGCAGTTTCGCGGATTTTTTTGTGTGCAATTTTGCATGCGTCCTGCGACGCCAGGACGAAGAGGCGCGGTCAGAGGAACTGTGACATACTCGTGAGTCACTATTAATAATTTCTTATGTGTTCAACCTCGTAGGTTGATCGTTAAAATTAAATTCGTTAGTTCTAAAATCCATCATTATTATTTATAGGAAAACGTTTATATTTTTATTTCTCAAACAAATGTTTGGGCCTTAAAACAGGTTTTGATCTTTGGTTTCATTCTATAATACTGGACTTATTTTTCTACGAAGGTTTGAACTTTGAGAGTGTTTAAACAAGAGAGAAAAGTGTGAAAATGTTCATGCCTGTCTGAGAAAAGTGTATAAAGTGTGTAGTGAGGGGTTTTACAGCCTTAAAACATCTATAATAATTGTAAAAAATAAAGCTGACTACTTCGCGGATTTCGCCTATTGCGGGTTATTTTTAGAACGTAACTCCCGCGATTAACGAGGGACCACTGTACCTCAAGGTACGTGCTCCTGCGTAATACTACGCACATAGCGTAACGCACGTAATATAGAATACAGAGCCTATTCGGCGAATTAAATTATTTCGACAGCTGAAGCACTGCTGTGCTTCTCCAAGACTGCTCCAGGGTGGCCTTTTATAACTGACTGCCAAGTGCTTAACTTATACGCCTTAAGCAATGATTGTCGTCTTGCCATATCTGTACACGAAAATGTGCCAGACATAGATTATGTTAAAAAGTTAAACTGGTAATATCGTGTAGTATCAAAAGCATTGTAAGCCCAACAATAGTTATTTATGACTGACAGCATGAAACCTTCACTGCTGAGTGTTGAACATTATTAGGCTTATATTATAAAAAATATCTTCTGATTTAATAGACACCGAGGCAGTGATGCATAGTACTGCTTAAGCACTATATCTGAGGTAGGTCTAATACCTATGAATACTATTTGGGCAGAAAACCCATAATCAAAACACCATGTTTCAGTAAGACATTCTTGCTGGAGTGCGTTTTCCTTAAAACAATGCATTTACAGTTTAGGTTTCCTATTAAAGCTTACAAATGTTTCTGATGCAAGTAAAAGGAAGGTCTTAACGGCCATTCAAAGTAAATTACATGCGCACAAAGCATAAAATCTCTCCAGATGACGCTGTATGTAACGGCTTTTATGTATAGGTTTGCAAATTGTCCTTTTAGAAAAATGTAACAACTCTAAGAGATCAAATTGTTTGATTTTGAAATACGTGGCTTTTTATCTATACATTTGAAGTCTCCTAGAACACTGTTCATTGCTCCGACATCGACCAGCAATATAACTTATGTCACCGCTAGGGGGCAGACACGCACTTCAAAACGCACTTCAGCAGTGTTCTTTACAGTTCTATCACTACGTTCAAGTGTAAATGTTACAGTACGTTAAATTATTCGTATATAACCATTTCCAAGATAAAGCTTTTATACGGTTGTTTTATGTTCTAATAAGTCTTTGAAAAGGCATTAATTGTGACACTACCGTTGACGCAAAGGTAACATGACCGGATAATGAAAATGTATAAATTAAATCACTACAACATAAACATTACCTGTAATTAATGACGTAACTGCTTACAAATTCAAAGTAAAATAATTCCTCACCATCTGCTTAACATGCGGTTCAACTGCATTTTCAGGATTCTGAGCCGGAGAGCTTTTCTCTTAAACGAGGCGATTGCGTGTTTCATTGATAAATACCGCATTTAGAAGGCTAATAACCATCCGCATTATTTTGTCTGTGTGTGTTCATTTTAATATGTGTAATGTCTAACAGAACTCTATCATGGATTACACTAGATCACTATAGTGACTACATAGGCTGGGCATAACGTATCCACAAGCATGTTCCCTAACACAGGCTTTTTCATTTTAATATGTATATGTATTTATGTATGTATTTATACAAACACCTTGTTCATCAAAAGACAAAAACGTACATATTTTTTGATTAAACATTTGTTTAATCAAAAAATATGTATATTGTTGTATATCACTATACAACTATATACATATATACAACTATACACAACTAAACACTATATATTATAGTGGTTATATATATATATATATATATATATATATATATATATACATACATACATACACACACGTGTGTGTGTGTAGTCTTCAATGGACAATGTTTGTGTTTGTTTTTAAGTTATGTCGGACGTTGCAGTTTGCAGACACTTTGCACGGACGTCGCCACGTTAGATAAACATTAACAAAAGGCAAACTGGGCCGTATATCTGCTGTAATAAATCAGTCGCTTCACAAGGACACGGTGACAACAGAAGCTCCAAGCATTTTCCCATATATCCCACTGAAATAACAACGAACCTTGGTATCGCTTCTTATCGTCCTCAGATACAACTCATCAGGGTTATTGTTTGCCAGCTAAATCATTATACAGGCAGGAGATAACTGCGTGTTTACTAAGTAAGGCCTGAAATGGTGTTAGCATAGCCGGCCTTTCACAACGTAGCTTAACGAAAATAATAATACACCTTTGTGGATATTCTTTGGGATTTCGGGGATATTATTTCAGTTGTTTGAGTTCTAGTTCAGTAATTTGAGTTTCATCTGAACTTCTGCGTTAACTAGCTACTGAGCAAAATTAAATATATCACGAAACTGGAATGCTTCTAAGAATGATTTATATGAACTGTAATTCATTATTATAAGATAATTACACCTTAATCGTTTGCAACGTCCTACAGTTTAAACTAATGTTATTACAACACTAGTCTTGTAAATGGAGCTCAAGGTATATACACACCTTCGTAATGACGCCAGATACACGGCACTCCTTCACTAAATAGACCTGTGAACAATATGGCGTTTAATAAACGTTGTCGACTAATGATTTCAGACAGTACAATGTAAGCTGCACACTACAGCTTGTTGTTATTATGCTAATGAAGTTATACTAAAATGATCAATTATCTATTACAAGAAAAAAACTAACTCTCGAGAATAAGAGATCAACAAGAAATCCGAATAAGATTATATTCAGACTAATAATACAGCTATCAGTCACACACTTTGTAATGCCGATGTGATTATTCATAAATGTATACGGTTTAATACAATGAAACATTTATAGAAAGGAGCGTGAACTCCATTGCCGGGAGACTGACGTGCGACTGACTCCCAGCTTTAATTTATAAGATGCCACAGCATCTATTGCCGTTTAACCTGTCCTCAGCACTAGGGTTTGTATGTTATATTCTATTAGGTTAAAGGAACCTCCACCGGGTAAAAGTATACACCAGAAAAAAAACACAACACATATACAAGTAATGTCACAATGAGCGTCACATTCCCATAACCTGCTAAGACAATTTGAATAACAAATCCATATAATTTTCTGACGTTTTCTGTACCAATGAAATTTCTTTTAGGATTAATCAATCAATATTAATTTCATATTGCATTCCATTGCAGACTAACCACATACCTCCTCAAACTGCATAATTAATCGATTGAATTTTCTCTTGAATATACTACTTAAAAATTCAGTTTAATTTTATTTGTAATGTAGATTAGTGGTTGATGTACGTCAAAGTCATTTAAAATGAAATGTGGCAAATAAAAGAAATAACATTAAATTATATTAAAGTCACGCAAAACGCAGAATTTAGATTTTTATATCTGAATTCCATTAGGCCTACTTAAATTAGAAGTACATTAGAATAACAATGCGACATTAATATTGTGATCGAAATTATAGAACATCTAATCAACAGAATTATATTACAAAAGAAAACAAAGCGCACTGTCATTGGCTGCAGTAATATACATCAATTGTCTGCAGTACATTAAGCATATAAATTCATTTGTGTATTTTATGTTTGATTTATATTTGATAAACAGTATGCTTCAAATTCTATTTTTGCCAAGCCTGAATTATTTATTTTGCAATATTTTTTTCTGCTTGTTTCAAATAAATAGTATCAGGAATAAAATCTACAACGTCCAAATTGTTTGAAACAACGCACTGTTAAACTTGTGTCAAACGGGCTACATACAATTGCTTTACGTACATGAACATTATAACAGAGTGAAAAGACTTACAGAAAGAGAGAGCTACATATTGGAACCCTAATATAATCTATTTCAAATAATCAATTGAGAAACACTGGAAAGCGAGCGTTGTATGGAAATAAGGCAAACCGGTGCATGTTTTGGCTTGAACCACTTTCCTAACAAGTGCATCCTTTGTCCGTGTGAAAAATGGTTCTATCTGATCGTCTGTTGAAATGGATGAGCGCCTCCGGCTTGCACCCTGATTGACTTTCTCATTCTCTAGAGACAAATTAATGGAGACCTTCCAGTTAATTAACAAAACCCCACTCAAGGCCTCGTCATCAAGGTAGAATCAGAATCTGGTAGCGTTAGAGCATCAGAAAATACAAAATATAGCAGCGAATGCAATCGGCGTTAGAGCTTTGACCGCATGCACCATTTGCCCTCGATGCGTCTTCTATATTGCAATGTAGCAAAAATCTTCAAAATTCAGGTGAATCGCAGTACGTATTATCCGGCAATACCTTACAAATGAAGCAAGCTTGGCGCACTAGGTTATTCAAACGAGTTAATGGGAGCGAGTGTAGCAGGGTAGTAATAAAGACGTAAAATTTCGTATTAGGACAGCGAATCTGCTGCAGTTTCCGGAGAGAATAGCTAAAAACGAGCAAGTAATTAAAAATGTTTAGCCTACATCAAAGAATGATTCATAAGTGAGAAAACATTAGCAAAACGAACACGGGAAATTACACACACCACTTACTTAATGTTCAATTAGCCTACACATAACACTTGAGGTTCAAAAAATTCAGTTTCCTATCTACCATACCGATGCATAACAACAGTTTTCCATATGAAACATTATTTAACAAAAGCTAATATCACTTGCGGCTATTACAGTCCAAACGAGTACAAACGCAAGGAGAGTGCAAGAAAACAGGTACACCGACCATGTTAAAGTGAACCCTCCTAAATCAAGTAAGTGGTCTGGTTCGCGATCTCGGTTTGCAGTTGAGGGTTAAATTATATTTGGGACGATTTTTTCGCATATGCTTCCAAAACACAACGGAAAATGCAATCCAGAAAGTAACAGCAAGCGGTAAATGAGCTATTGCCGGCTCACCTGCGAGCCTGAGCGCCGACATCCTCTGGAATTCAGGCTCCTGCAGCCATTTCCACATCCTGCGGAAGGTCTCACGGCCGGACTTGAGTTTGCTCCAGGGTTTGGGGTTCCTTAGCAGGTCAGATAGGGTCCCCTGCGACCGGCACAGCACCCTCTGGGCAAAGATGGCCTGGGGGATGCTGTACCTTTTAAGCTCTGTGGTGATTCTCTGCGCTACTTCTTTGGTATTGACTTCTTCCATTTGCCCTGAATTGCATGCACTATTGACCTGCGAGCCAGGCAAAGACCCCGGGTTTGGTTCTCTGGTTGAGCCCATGCCCTGACCGTGACTCTGGGGGTTCAGGTGCGCGTGCGGGTGGTGGTGAATTCCGTTTATTTGCACCATGGCCGCCGAAGAAGGGGTCATGTGTTGATCCCCATGTCTGCCTAGCATGGCAGGGTGATGGGCTTCGAATCCGTTGGGTGTGAGCATTTTCTCCGTGGGCATTGTGGCACCCGGGTGTGCGTAAGGCGGCAAACCCTGCTGGGAGTTGTGTATGCCTCCCAGCCCGGATCCCGACAAGGGGGAAAGACTTTGTCCCATGCCGGCAACATCCTTGTGGTAAGGACTGTACAGATTGTTCATAGACGCCAGTCCCCTTTCGTCCCTCATGAGAGTGAAGCTGCCGCTCACGTTACCGGGGATCCGCTGGTGAGGGTGATGATGATGGTGGTGGTGATGGTGAGGAAACTTGTCCGAGACGGTAGAGATGGGAGGCAGCGGCTGCAGGGGAGTCAGCGTGGTGTACGTGCTGCTCATGCTCATTCCGGGGGGAGCCTCGCAAGCCATGGTCATGGCTGGATGCAAGTGTCCGGCGAGACCGTGTTCCGGGGGCCGATGGTGATGATAGTCGCCGCTGTCTAGAATTGATGCCATGCCCATGGAGCGCGCGTGGGCTGACAAGTGGTTGCTGCGATGGGTCACCGTGCTTCTGTGATGGGGACTGCTACCGCTCATCAAGTCAGCGGTGGCGGACAGCTGCTCATGGCTCACTGCATGCAGATCGCCAATGTTCTCCATCGACAGCTGAACATTCATTATACGTGCAATCTTGTGTAAAAAACATCTATGTGGTGTTCGTCGCAAAAAAAGTCCACAGAAGTCTTCGCAGTAGTCATGCGTAATGTCTTGCTCCCTTTGTATCGGATGCCGAAGCGTTTCTATTTTTTAATTTACACGCCGCTTTTTATATCTTTTAATATATTCTCTTTTTGTTTTTTTGTTTTGTTTTTTTTTTTTTTTTAATCTGCATTACATGAATTTAAGGCCCCCGTTCGCCTACCAGAGCATCAGCAGCTGTAGTCGCAGTACCCTCACCATCTCTAGCCATGTCTCCGTGCTCTTTGGATCTCTCTAACAGCGGCTCTGCTGTTGCGGCTCCGGCTGTAGACTCATGCGCATTAGCGCGTCCCCTCCCACAACAGGGACACGAGCGCACGCTGCTCCTCTGCTCTGACGTCAGCCGCAACGGAAGTCTGGCTGAAGATATCTCTGGAACAGCCGCTGCATTGTGCGAGGTCCCCATTGTTATTTGTTTTGCACTTAGGCCTTTTAGCATCATTCTTAATTTTCAGATAAAATATATCAGACCGTAAATGTACAGCTTTGTTTTACTAAATAAAAGCGAACTGAATAATACATGATGGAAAACAAACGCTGTGTAAATATGTTAAGAAGTCTACTTTAAGATACCCAATATAAGATAATATATGTACACAATTGTAAATTTAAGCACTTCCGGGTGTCAAGGTAAACCGATGATGAAAAAAGTTAAGTATGCCTAACATTTTCAGCATTTTAAGAAAATCCAACGTGTTGTACAATATGTGTGTTGATGTCTTCCTAACATCAAACAATAAAATACACAGATGTCAAAACACTGCTATAAATTCTGAATATTTATGAATGTTACAAATGTAAATGGCACCGTATATTTAGTGCCTGTGTGGAACATTAGTTAAACATTAAAACATTTATGTTGTACTCCACCAATGAATAAAGGTATATTTTCTTTTAAAAAGAAGACAAGCGCGGACAGATGTTTCTATTGTTAATCTATTAAGAAAAACGAACCAAGCCAGTAGGGTACAGGCTAGTGGACAGGAGAGACTGGGGTACGCGGATAGGCCTACGTGACACGGCACATTATGCTATATAACCGAATTTAAACAGATCGCACGAGAACTCCAAAAATTGATCTGAAAGGCTGAAGGAAGTGTTCTATGCTACAGAGAAAGCATTGGAAATATTTGAATCAGCGACTGTAGGACTTCAAATTACTGAAGCAAGGTGTCGAATTAAAAAAAAATAACGAATAAGAGATTGTAACTGGTAATTAAGTATACTACCAAACAGTAGTGTTTCATTGGATGCCTACCAGAAAAAGTACGGATTATAATCAAATCAATTATTCAAATCGTGAAATTTCCAAAGCCCGTTCATTAAAACATATTTAGCACACGATTGCAGTTGGATGGATGCATTTTTATTTACTGATTTCAGAGTGACACAGAAAACATTTGATAGGAATAACGGTTACATAGTTCATGAACAATATGGGAGGTATTATTTTAATGTGAAAGATAAAAATACATATAAAACCGAACACATCGTTTTAATTACAATATAAAATCACATTAAGCTTTTGTTTTCCCTAAAATACACCTAATCAAAATAAAAATCTAAGAAAAAACGTGTATTTTATATAATTACATTATCTTATACGTCATGTACAAAACTCACTGAATACTTTTATGGAATGAAAGCAAGTAATTAATTCATAATTTAAAAAAAAAAATCGTTTATAATCCGTTAATATTGAGTCCATTGAACCACAATTGATTTAGCATGAAGAACACACATTTGTAACTTTTGTCGGAAATAGAAAAGCACTTTGTGCCCTTTCCCCCAGAAGTGGCGACACTTTGCAGAGATAAGTGCATCGGGCCAGTTCATCTGAATATGCAGCATATTAAAGGGGACACTGCAAGACTCCCAACTCTAATAGCTGTCGAGTGACGAGGGTAGATTTTAAACAAACTTTCCCAGTGTGGTTTCTTAGAAAAACAGACACAAAAACAAATCACCAATATGCATATATATGAGAATAAGATGAGAATGATATTATTAACATCGGTAAATAATTTAATTAAACGTGATGAAAATATCCTAGAATTAAATGCAAATGTTTTATATTTTAATGGGAATTGTAGATGGATGCAAAAATTAATTATGGTTGGATATTTTTATAAGTGTAATTGTTAAATTACTAAAATAATTGGCTATACTTCCCATTAGATTTGACGGCTATGAAGGAAAACTATGAAATTTAATAATGAAAATGAATTTGGAAAAAGCTGTTAATATTTTACTGTATCAAGTTTTTCGGTATTTGTTTTACTATAAAGAAAAATGGCTCTCATTCCTAAATGCTGTTGACACTCGGAAAGTGGTCGATATTTTTCATTCGCACTTCTGTGACTTGCAAAAGAAGGGGACATTTTCTCTTGGCGAAGGCCTGCTCAGGCGTGTTTGTTTTGGGACCCGAATTTGTCTAGCGTACGGTGTGCCTGATTTCAGGGAACGGTGCTTCTGGAAATTCACTGGCTCTCGATGAAACAAAGCAAAATAAGACTGGATAAGAAAAGACGTGTGACATATTGTGTCGCAATATAACAACGTAATCACAATAAACAAGTTATCAACCCGGGGGACCGGGAAAGGGCACCATGTCATCATCAAGTCGTCCAGCATTCGACACATCCCAGGCGAACTTTCTTGGTACCTTTCTTTCTTGGTACCTGTATTTCTTGTTATTTTTCCAGACAATCTTAGCCATTTAGCAAGTAGCTTCTTATTGTAGATGTTGCATTATAAGCATGCGACGCATTCTTAGGTTTACCCGTTGCATTATTGTGATGAAAATGGAAAAATTGTAATTGATGCAATTAAACTCAACGTGTAGACTATGACACGGAAAGTGATAATCATCGGAATTAATCCAGTGATACCGACATATAGTATTGTAACGACAAAACACAATAGTGCACCCGGGACATTAAATTGTTTTGATGATTATCTGAATAAATGAATAAATATGACAATCTTTTTTTTCCAGAAATGGTACAGATCTTTACTCAAATTCCTCTCATTTCGAGAAGTTAAAACGCCAATGTGAGCGCTGTTTAATTATTCATACTGTGTTGCCCATATACTTTTCACAAGTATCATAAATTGGGCGCCTCTGGTCCTTTGCAGGGAGTTTCGCAGAGTTACTTGTAGCTTTAACAATGAGTTACAAGCAAAACCGGGCCACGTTAATGCGAAAATTATTCCCCGTCTTATATGGGTAGAGATAAGTACTAGCGTGGATCAATAACTCCAGTCTGTACAAAAAATGACGACGTTATTAATAGCTCGTAATCCTGGCGCTAATGGCAGTAAAAACGCTTAATAAAAACGCTCTCGCAGTGAAGCATATCCATGTAATTATACGCAAAAAAAGAACACTACTGCTTAGGTGCTTTTTAAGAAATAAAGACAACTATGTGTAGCATTAATTTTCTTTAGAAATCTTTAAAATAGCATCCTTTGTCTGTTATACTGAATGTTTTGGTCATATTATTATCAAATAATATGAAAATATATTTTACTCTTGTAATAGATAGTTGCTCAATAGCATTCACTACTGCTATATCTCTGAATCTTACTGCATTTTTGGCCGTCATAGATACAGTGCTATCGTTTTGGATTATAAGCAAATGGGAACCATCAAACGTTTCTGGTGTAGTCAATTGCCCTAATCATTTGCGTTTCATTATTCTATTCGCAGCCTGATACGTACAGTCTACGTTTTAGCGTACTGCTTTACTTTATCTGTGTTTATTTTTGATTACCTATACATTATTTTCAAACTATTTCCGAATAGAGCATTCTGTTAAGAGTCTCGCTGTGTTCAAATTAAAAGCAAAAAGGTAACTATATAGGTCTACAACTCAGACTAAAATATTTTTTCTAAAGGTAAACATGATAAAAGAAATTATAAGCATCTGAATTTAAAACGTATTTAAATTTATTTTTGTCTACATAAACATTTACTGGATACATCATATATCCACCCAAGCACTGCAATAATAATATGTTTACATTTTACAGCTAGAATTTGAATGGGTAGGTGTCAGAAGTAAACTTTAGGAGATTTCACAAAAAATAAGTAAATAGAGCCCAATTATTGTGATGGCAGTTATCTGTTGAAACAGCATACAGTTTCATACAAAGTGACTAAAACATTTCTATCAGGTAATGTGATTTCAAGAATGGTTTGTCAACGAGGCAAAACCTGATGAAGGTTATAAGAACTAAACTTAAATAAAAAATTAATTCATCCTGAAATAAACTAATAATATACCAGCTAAACTAGCTGTCTTTGGCTGGCTGATTTTATGGCATATTTTCGTTATTTTAAAGAGTAAAAAATTCAACTGTTCTACGTGGTTCGATAGATTACGGTGCGTGATAAAAATGTGACTGAGTTAAATAATTATACATAAATAAAATAAAAATAAACAGCAATAAACAATTTGTCAAGGCGCCAGGTCAAGCGGATCAAGCAAAGAATTTATGCGCATTAATTATTAAACTTTAAAAAGAACAGTTTATTTCAATAATAAAAATAAAGAAAAACTTCAGCAATGTGGTAAAGTGCAGATGCAGACTAACTTCATCATAGACTGAACTCGTCTTCGTCAAATTAGCGTTAACCGAATGGAATTAACTCATTCATTGTTATCTGAAATGAGAAGATTTACGCTTATCACGTGCCACACAATGAAGAACCCACAACCTTCCCTTGCATAACACACAAGAATAATTATTGATGGGTTTTGTGCACGTGTACATAGTTCTGCTTTGAAGTGTAACCAGTAAGAATTGTTTCCAGGGTTTTTTGATGGTTAAAACGTTACCTGCATTGATGGTGTTGTCTTTTTTTGTATAATTCTATCAGTTTAAATGATAAGATTAGTAGCCAGCAATTGAAAGCAAAATAAAACGTTTTGATTTACACACTGTAAATCTGCGACAGACAAACGTATACAGCTGTTACGTGTTATGTTGTTCACGGCTAAACATCTGACATGACATAACTAGCCTCAGGAAAAAAATACAATAAACTCGAACTTATAATACTGTCTATGTGCAAAGTATTCTGAGTATCCCGTAGGCTAATGTACAGGACGCGTAGCGCCTTTTGTGAACCATGCAGAGTTGTTTTAA